AAATATTGCTTTAATTATAAATAATTCCTTGTATCATTTTTCTACTACTAATTTTTCTTAAGTTTATGTTTGCCAGTTTGTATCAGTAAAGTACAGAAATATTTTATAAGAAAAAAGACGCATAGTAATCTAACTCTATTTGTATAAATTATATATTCAAACTCATTTTGATTTTTGTATGTATTTTTCAATAGTTAATTATTAAAAGAATTGAAAAAAATATCTTACCAATAAAGAGAGATAGAGCTGTTTCTATCTCAATATTATATAAACCAAGTTCATATAAATTCGAATAATTTGCAGCATGAAGAATACGTTTCATAGATGAGGATTCAACATTGAGCGATTTGATTTTATGACAAATTAAGGGTAAGATTTGTGAACAAAATCGATTAAGTATTAGATCAGGTAATGGATAGTTGGAATTATCCGAGAAACGTCTCATCAATGTTAAGTGACTTGTAAAAATTGGATCACGTACAATTGTATTGAGTCGTTTATTAACATCTATTAATGAATAGAGTACTTCGGTATTGAATAATTTTTTCAAAATAATCATAAGAATTTCATCAGGTAAATTATTTAATTCTGTCGACATATGTTTCATATTTTTTTCACTTATTTATTCTTATCGTTGATAAATATGAGAGTATTTATATAGGTATGTTCATTTTATCGATTTGACCGATGTCGTCAATGAAAACAATCATACATAATATAACGTCTATAATCACAACTGACAACGAATGAATAAAAGAAAAAATGACATTGTTACTGTTTTTTCTATATGCGAATGAACGCGGACATAATCTCTTTAAATATACAGTTGATTAGGGTAATTCTGATCGTTTTACAAAAAAAAAGTATATTTTGATTATTTTTCAGCCATTTTACATCAGAAAAAAAGTTTTTTTTTATCTACAGATAGTCTCAAGTCTTCTCTATTAAGTCATGTAAAAGTTTTTCAGAAAAATTAATATTTTGAATTAGTTTTTACAAAAATGCTGAAAGCCCTATCAAAGTCATCAGAATTACCCCAACTGAAGTAATTCTGATCAG